GACGATCGGATCGCTTGGCATCTTGGCAGCTTGGCAGCTGGTGTCGAAATGTGACCCAAGCGAGGGCAAAGGAGATTATGCAAAAATCACAAAAAAAAAATCGAATTCGAATAAACGATTTCTATTTGGGTTGACCGCTTTGCAGTGGTTCACATTCATAGTAGGTATATGTAGTTTTACCGAAGCATTTAACTTACTTTCACATAACTGCCGAAACCGCACTCAGACAGTCCGCGGCGGGGGAGACACAGGGCTGGCCAAACAAAAGACTTGGGCAACGAACTTGTCACAAAACCAACAACCAACAGACGCAGACCCAGACCCAGACGTAGTCGCTCGATGGGTTTGATTTGATAATTGCTGCAGCGGTCTGTGGCCTCTATTCGATTATGATAAATGATAGACGATGATGGCGAATCGAGGGCATGGTGCTAGGGGCATACATACATATGTATATTCAACATGGATTCAATATATATATTTGAACTTGAACGCTCGCATATATTTCAGGTACTGGGCCCCAAGCTCATGGAAAACAGAAAACCCTTCGAGCTGCGCAAAGTTTTGATTGTCTACAACGCGGCGCAGGTGATCTTCAGTGCTTGGCTGTTCTACGAGGTAACACCCCTCTAAACCGGAGAGAGACTGCGACCCTCTTCCACTAGACGACTAAGCTCTCTTTCTTTTTTCTAGTCCTGCTTGGGCGGATGGCTGAATGGCTACAACTTGAGATGCGAACCCGTTGACTACTCTTACTCACCCAAAGCGATACGTGTAAGTGTTTCATGGTCTTTTATAAGAATATAATACGGGTATACATAGGTATAGGTTTAGGTTTGGTCCAGCATGGGGCTATAAATTTCCATATATTGTTTATGGTTAGCAAACAGCAAGATTCTTTTGTTGACTGGGCCAGATTTTATGTAAGCAACCAGTTTTGGCTGTGGCAAGACAAGAAATTAGAAGAAAAAAAAAATGGCAATGGCGACAGGTTCTCTTATGCTAATCAAAAAGAAATGGATACCGAAAGCCGGCCGGCGGGCTCTGCGGCTCTGTGGCTAGCGAGGAATAGAGAACATTTTTTTGCGGTTCTCTCCGCCTCACGTGTGCCGCCAGGTTGGCTGAGTGGAGAGTGGCTGTGGCTGCGGCTGCGGCTTAGAAAGCTGATCGCCCAGCGATTTTGCAAATTAATTTTTTGTCATTGATAAGCATGGGGGGATTGTGTTACCGTTAGTTCAAATGCAAATGGATGCCGTTCTCTGCATAACAAAAACGAAATTTTGAATTATTGCCAATAAAAGACCATAAATATTGAGTCGCTCAGAAGTCAGTTCCATTCCACACTAATCAATATCCGATCTAAGCCTTGAAGATGGGCAAACACGAGAACAAACCCGTTCGGAGGGATGTCTCATACCCAGAATATAGGTGAGGACTCAGACATTTGTACACACACAAACAGATAGGGATAGGGAAATGTACAGACTTGATTGCATATCGTATGACTTATTCGTTATAATTTTCTAGACGGCCGAGGGATGCTGGTGGTACTACTTCTCCAAGTTTACAGAGTTCTTCGACACCTTCTTCTTTGTGATGCGCAAGCGCTACGATCAGGTGTCGACTCTGCATGTGATCCACCATGGCATTATGCCGGTGTCCGTTTGGTGGGGCGTCAAGTTCACCCCCGGCGGTCACTCGACGTTCTTCGGCTTCCTCAATACCTTTGTGCACATCATTATGTACACGTACTACATGTTGGCCGCAATGGGACCGAAGATGCAGCGCTACTTGTGGTGGAAGAAGTACCTGACGGTGCTGCAGATGATTCAGTTCGTACTGGTCATGGTGCACTCGTTCCAGCTCTTCTTCAAGAATGACTGCAACTATCCGATCGGCTTTGCCTACTTCATTGGCGCCCATGCTGTGATGTTCTACTTCCTGTTCTCCAATTTCTACAAGCGGGCCTATGTGAAGCGCAATGCCAAGGTATGTGAAACAGATCCTCCAGTCATCTCTCTAAACCTCTCAACTTTCCATCTCGTGCGCGTGTATCTGCAGGAAAAGGCTGCTGCTTTGAAGGCCAACGGACATGCGAACGGCTCGGTCAAGGCCCAGAAGGACGGCGACGTGCCGGCCACACGAAATGGCCAACTCAATGGGTCTGCGAACGGTTTCCACAACACCTTCTCAAAATTCACCACCGAGATGTGCAATCCGGCGCTGAACACGACGACGCGACAGCGGGCGCTCGTCAACGCCGGCAACAAGTAGAGCGCCGACAGAGCCAGCCAACCAGCCAGCCAGCCAAACAAGAAACAAACATAAGCATAAATTAATTACGCTACCATTTAAATTACCGTACGATTAAATTAATCATAAGCATAGGGGGTCCAAGCCTAATCTAAGCCAAATCGAATTCGTAATCAATATCAAGCAAACACATACATACAAACATTAAATGAAAAACATATTTTCATGGAAATCCAATCCGTAGCGATCGCACATAAAGCTCATGTCTCGCTGACACACTCTTCTTCCCCTTTTTTCTTATCTGTAGCTATCTTTTTGTACCTACTCATTCGACTCTCAGTCAAAGCAATGCTCTGTGAATTCATTCCCATGACGAGTACAGAATTTATCTGCATATTTTCTACTATACCTATGGCATATCCTTGAGTGATTGTGGTCGCATACCACGCTCTATCTAATACTTACTATTACTTACCCATCTCGCCCTATATTTTTGTATTTTGGTAATGCAAGCGACAGCTTTTTATATGTGTATATTATTTCGTTGGATTGTTTTGAACAAAAAAATGTGTTTTTATTTTATAAATAAATTCGAGATTTAAATGAATCTTTGCATTAAATGGCGTTTCTATGGCCCGGATACTATTTTGGTTGAATTTCTTCGACAAATAATCATATCGAAACGATGCTAGAATCAAAGTAACGATGCGAATTGATATGGATACCCAGTCAATACGCTCGAAATAGTGAGGCGGGGATTCTGAGGGCCACGGTCTGGATCTCCCAAGCGATGGGATGCTCCCTCGCACCCCTCGAAAATGTAGGTAATCTTATCCAGCGACTCCAAGTCATTGATCATGGAATTGGCGTAAGGGACCATGAATAAATGGGAATGGAACTTTATTTATTGCATGGTGGAAATCGCGCCGGAAATGCCCATATTTACTGTAGAATGTAAAATGGAAAGTCGCAAAGAAAAATGTGTAGCATATTTTTAGGTGGGTAAAAATGTAGAGTTCACGTACATTTGTATGTATTAATTTCCCACTTCCAGGTAAGCGCGACAACATTTAAAGATGTTCAAACACAAATTCTTAATAATAAACTTGTATTCTTTTTATATGAACTTAAGAATAATGAATTAATAATTTGAATGCCAGCGGTCGTTGCCACTATTTGGTATATGATTTTAATTTTCTAGTTTTTGTGTTATTTCAATGTGTGGTCGAATATGTACTTGGCGCACTATATGAGTTATAGGGTTGGCAGTGGACGGACAGAATGATAAGTTTACACACTCGAACAATTGTAGAGTTTCCAATGGACAATTAAAATAAACATAAAATATAAATCAGACGCGTTTACTTGCCCTGCCGTCACATTGGGACTTGCCTAGTAATCTTCTCATCGTGGAAGGCTACCGCTGGGATTTTATCTACTCTAAGTTCCAGATAATTTAAAATTATGGTGATCTATATGATTGTGGGGTAAATTGGTAGTAAGTGCCGCTCAAGTGCGGTTAGGAATTTGTCCTCGCTTCGCATGCTTGTTGAAAATTAACCAGAGTCATTTTGTAGAGTCCATGGCATAGGTGAAGTTAGGCAGTTTGTCTGCACTACAAACTGGTTACCGACGTTTACCTGCACAAAACAATAACAATGAACAATAATTTAAAAATAGCTTAAAGAACGCAGCTGTTGTAATTAATATGACTTGCATGCAAGTACACATATAGACATACATATGTACCTGAGTACATACATATGTACATTTGTACTTATAACAAAGTTAGATAGGCATTCCCTGTAAAATAAAGTTAAACGGTGTAAATTGCACTTTTGTCTATAATTAAAAATTGCATACGATTCGACTTGCCTGATTTTATACATTGATTGCGTCCATTAAAGCTAAACACGAACAAGTATTTCGAGGTGTTAACGAAAAAGCGATGAAAGCCCTTTACATTAGATGGCAAAAGTACATGAAATTAATAAACTCGATTTGATATGCTTTTCGTTAATAATACTTACATATGTATGTACATAATAATCTTCCGTTAGGTTTGATACTCAGTATAAAGTCTCAAAAGTGTCCCACGAAAATATTGAAAAATTGCATATATGTATGTACTCGTACAGTACATATGTACAGGTCATACGGCATAAAAATTTTGCGGAAATTATAGTTCGTGCGTCCCTTGAGGCTTGTTAATGGAAAGGCATACCCACCGAAATTTCGACACTCGATAGTAACCAAAAGCCAGTGATTGTCGCTACTCATGCATATGTTGCACCAATACTTTGTTGAACGTATGCAAAACAATCCTGGACGCAGCAAAGCCTGGATAAAAATACACAATGGGATGCTGATACGATGCCATATAATTATTTCATTAGCAGCTAATGCACGACTTCCGAATGCGCTTAAGAACCAGGTCATCAACGCTAATGAAAACATTGTATACCTTAGGCTTGCAAGACTCGCAAACAGCTTATTTTGTATGCACGAATATCGATGTCCATTAAAGGATGGCAGGAATATGAGGGTAGCATTTTTTTTGTATCTTTTTAAACACAATCTCTACATATGTACAGTGTACATATACGTACATGTACATATGTATGTCAAGATCATAGGAATAGCTGAGACTTCCCTGTTGACCACCATTCATTGTGCTCCATGCATGAAATAATGTGCTAATAGGCAAGATCAAATCAAGCAAAACTAAGTTCCGGAAAATCACAAGTTAGTGGTATGTATAGCCAAAATAGGTTGGATATCCCGTGATGGGCACCAATGTCAATTGAGTTTGAAAGGTCTAAAGATGGTGAGACGGCTGCCAGACGGCCTAAAGTATATTCTTAAACTTAAATAATAATTCATCTCTTTCGTAGCGCTTTGGTACCGCTTTGTTCTTGGGACTGGGCCTTTGCCTTCTGCTGCTCCTTCATGGCAGTTCTTCGGAACCAAATAAAAAAAAAAAAATTCGGCATAGGGCCGCAAGGACTTGGTCGCATTCACTTGCCAACCCGTTCGTGCCCATTGAATACTTTTCAGAGCCTAAAACATCGCAGGCGCATTATCGATCTTTATTGGGCAATAACACTGTCCTTGACTATGAAATGTTTTGGTCTCAAGAAAGAACCCTACTTGCACACGAACATCTAAAACTGCTAAGTATCAGCGATCCAGGCGCTATATTCTTCAAAAAGTGCATTGATATATTCAAGCAGACTGATTTAGTAGCCTATATCGTAAAGGGAGTACTGGATGAGCTCACAAAACGGCTTGAACAGCACTGCGCTGACAAAGGACTTCATCCACTCTCTCCGAAAATAGTCGCTGGCAGTCTTTATTGCAATAGTAATATGCACGATACCATGGACATGCTGCTCGACCTTCTGTTAGATCAGGTGGAACGGAATTGTGAAGCCATACCCGGATACCATGGTATTTTTATGTTTAGCAGATAAACAAACATTTAAGATGAGCTATGCTCGAATTTGGAGCAGAATTTGAAGCATGTGGTTTCAGAGTGTCAGAGGAACGCCTTGAAGAAATATACGAGTTCCCTGGAAACAATTTTTCCCTGGTCAAATTTAATAATTACACGCAAGCAAATAAAGCTCTCTTCCATTACCCATAATCAGCAAAATATCTGAGACAGTTCCAAAATCAACAGCTCAGTTCTTTAAATATTTCCCGCGCGTGGCAGCAGCACATTGTCCGTGCTAACATCGCGACGTCTGCGTCCAGTCTCCTCCGAGTCCTCGACTGTTTCCTCGGAGGACGAATCATCGTCATCGCCATCGGCATCACCATCGCCGCCCTCTTTTTTGATCACCTCCGTGTCCTTCTCCTCTACGGCAACTGTGATCACTTCCTAGTGGTTTGGAGGAGTGAAATGTTAAGATTCTACCAGGATTCTACCTCATCTGTCACCTGTGGCCTGGCCTCCGTGTGTAGCGCCACTTGTAGCACCACCAGCAGGAAGGAAGCAAGCAGCATGCGTCGTCCCAAATGAAAGCCCATTGTATAAACATGACGAACTGCGCCCGCTGGCGATATTTATAGGTCTCACCTAATTGTCTAATGGCCCTTGCATGTCGCATAATATTCGCCGTAATCTAATCCGCCCCCACCCGAAATTGATCAATTTCTGTGTGGAGGGCAATTTGAGTTTTAGCTGTCAACCTTGCTGACGCCAAAGCCGAATCACTTGAGAGTAGCAGCCTCTTCAGTCACGAGACGCTGCACATTTTGGTCTTGGAATGTGCCGACCAGTGCAGTTTTTGCCCATCTCAAAAGAGCCCAGCCCAGCAAGTTCGAAAATGAACCCCAACCAACTTGCTTGCCAATTTAGCAAGTCTTTTGCTCACTCGCACTCGCACAGGTAAGCCGAGCTGGCACGCAGACAGGTAGTTTTGGGGCCCGGCTCGGTCCGGCCGCTGCCACAGGCACATAAATTGTACTTAAACGCACGGAACGCGTTTCGTTCACCATGTGGACATATAATTAAATGGAATTCGAAAGAGAGATTGCGGTCGAGAGACTGGGCCTCTGGGATCGATGCACTGCCCGCAAGTATCTGTAATTTCATTTTCGATCCAGGCCTCCAACCAGACAGTTGTCAGCGATTCTATACACAGTTTGCCGTGAATTTACGAATTATAAAGTGCTAATGAGATAAATATATATGTGGTGCAAATAGCCAAATTTAGCTAACAAGCTATTTCAGTGTATGTTAAGTTAATAAAAAGTGTGTAAATCACGTTATTAACGATTTTTACAGACTGCAAGCCACAACACCAGTTCGCCATGAATTTATTTTCACGTCTGAAACGCTTCGGTGGCGCCACCTGCAAGGTAAGAACATGATTTGTTTCACCGAAGTAAGCTAAATCGTACTTGTTTTGCAGAATTCCGCTACATTGCCCGTTACAGGTCCGTATACACAATTGTCTCTAGGGAAACATTTGAAATGTGCGCCAGGTTAGCGTAGTCAAACAACGCGTTAGTGATTCTTAGTTTACATACTCATACATGGGCTCATACCTGAAACGCAAAAATGAGAGCGAAATCTTCAGCAATTTCCCGCGGGGAAATTTTATAGTTTGTTGGGTTAAAAGGGAAATTTATATTTGAATAAAAAACAAATCAAAACTCGCAGCTGCCGCAGAGACGCCAGTGGATTCCACAGAAGTTTATAAAATCATAACCGAGGATAAATTGCCAAGCAGCAAACCAGACCACGAAACAGGTAATTATTAAGAAAATATTTAATAATTAATGGATGACGTAACAAAGAAGAGACATTGCACTGCCCCTGTACGTATACACATTTGTATGTACGTACATACATACATATATATGTATCTCCGTGAAAGGAAACATTTGAATATACATATGTATGTATTGATGTAAAAGGGCGTGGGTGGTGGGCGTAAGTGGCTTATCAGAAGTGACAGATACTGAAAATATGCATCGAGCTGAGATGATATGATATTGATTTTATCAGAACAATGCCAAATTTCAGGCTGAGCGCAAACGCAAGTTATGACGTCAGCAACGATGCTGCTTCGGGTGATAAAATTCCACAAGAAAAACTGGGATTGGGAGTTTCCATTCACATGTGTACAGACATACATACATATGTACATACATGTGGCTGAAAATTCCCAGCTGGGGTTTCAACGTAACCTTAAAAAAGCTTTCTTGAAGAGAAAGTCGCGTACGAGAACTTTGCTAGAGTTTAATTTCATCTTAATTAACGCTGATTAGAATCAATTTAAAACTATTTACTTTTCAGTCGACATGGTGCACGAGGAGAAGATTACTGTGGCGGATGGCGCCGACGAGCAAATGCTGGGATCGGGCGGGCCTGAACAGAAGCTGGCCGGACGAGATGAGGTCAAATTTATCAAGGGCGATCACCAGAATGGAGATGCCAAGATTGATATCGGAAACGTAAACGGCAAGGCTGTAAGTGTAGACGAAACTGTAGGAAGTGGAGGGTACTAACCTAAGATTTACTATGTGGTAGGCCTTTACGGGCATGAGCAAGGAGGAACTCATGAAGTACGCCAACGATCCGTTCTGGGTGCGCTTGCGCTGGATTTTCTTCGTCGGTTTCTGGGCCATCTGGGCAGCCATGCTGGTGGGTGCTATTCTAATCATCATCGGAGCACCGAAATGCGCTGCTCCTCAGCCTTTGCCCTGGTACAAGCGCGGACCCCATGCGAAGTTCGCTGGCATTGATGCTGCCAAGCCGGATGACGTCCAGACTGCCAAGAAAATCCATGCTACTGGAGCAATCTACGAGCTGCCCGCTGCCCTAACCTACAGTGTTAGGGCGCCTGAAGTGGAGCAACAGATCAAGCAACTAGTGGCCCAATATCAGGCCAGCGATGTAAAGTTGATCCTCGACTTGACACCCAACTATGTGGGCAAGGAGTCGAAGCTGGTTCAGGATGCTCTTGAAAACCAAGAGAAGCGGGCCGCCTTTGTCTGGGTGAGCGGAAAAACGAGCCCACCCACAAACTGGCTGAAGGTGGGCGGTAATCGCTCCGCTTGGGAACAACTAGATGGCAGCTATGTGCTCTCACAGTTCCAAGATGGCTACTACGATCTGAAAATGAACAGCTCGCTTATAAGGAACGAATTTGGAGGGGTGCTGAGGCATCTGGTGGGACTGGGCGTACAAGGCTTCCGCCTGAAGAACACCAAATTCTTTGTGCTCTCCGACAGCCTCGAGGACGAGGTGAACTCTGCAGTGCCCAAGGACCTGAATCTGGGACCCACTGAATATGGTTTCTACGACCACAAACAGACCACTTTCCAATCTGGACTGGGCGATGTGCTATATGACTACCTAACCATTGTGAAGAATGCCTCCGCTGACGCCTTCCTGTCGGTGGCCGAGGACATCATACAGCCCCAGGTGTACCAATTGAGTGATGTTGCAGGGGCCAACGGCATTGATTTGCCCATGTACGGGGACTTTGTGAAGGTGCTCAGCAAATCAAAGCCAGATAAATCTCTGTTTAAGGATCTCGAGAACACGCTGTTCCAAGCAGGCAACGGAAGCTGGCTTCAGTGGAACTTCCGGGATGTCTACGTGGACACCCCACATGACCCGTCGGCCCTGGCCTTGTTCCTCTCCATGTTGCCAGGCGTGCCAGTGGTTTCCGTGGATGCCATCGAGTATCAGAACGTAACCGAGAAGACTTACAAGCATATCGAGCAGCTGCGTCACTCGGCCTCGTACATGCACGGCGAGTTGAAGATCTATGAGGCAGATCCGCTGGTGGCCTTCTCAAGGTATTGATTTCTTTCTATTTCTTTTCATTCCTTGACATTAATCTGATCAATTTCTTCATGCTTGCCCATTGAAGGCAGAGGTAAATCCATGGCTTCAGTTAACACATTTTTTCATATTTCCTCATTTTTTTTGGATTTAAACATTTTCTGACTGATTATTTCTATTCCCGCAGAATCAAGTCTGGCAATCCTGGCTACTTTGTAATCTTCAATCCCACCGACTTGCCACAGTCCAGCAACATTACCAGCGCACACGATCTGCCCGACAAAATGACTGTCTCTGTGTTCAGCGAGAACTTTAACAATTACGAGGATGTCAACAAGGTGCAGCCGCTTGGCAAAGTCAGCCTCGGTGACCTGAAGGTGGCTCCACAGTCGGCCATCATACTGACCTATGTGCCAGTGAAGACGGAATAAATAGGTTGTATATACGACAAATACAACTACTATATTGCACAAAGATAAAGATGTGCACATCTATTAATTAGCTTAGCTCGCTTCAATGTCCACTGAGATTCAAAGCCGCAAAACAAAACTAAAATTTGTTGAGAAAAAAAATATATATAAAGAGTTATCTGCTTGTTCAATCGCTTGCTATACCTACAAATATATGAATGATTATTTGATTGCATTTAATGATAAAATAGTTTCAATAATTGTTGTACCCTTTGAGGGAATTTATGTAATTTGGCAGCTTTTAGACAAGGAAGTACGTATTCTTCATTTAAATTTGTAAATGTCGATTCCTTATAGCCAGCCATGTGTCTCTGTCCGTCTGCTCCTATTTAAACTATTCTTTCAGTTTTGAATAACGAAATCTTTGATGCTTTATCCTCCATTTTTAGATATCCTGAATTATCGGTCATTGTCGGAATCTATTTTGTTATTGAATGAACAAACCTAATGTTCTAAACCTTTTTCTTCAGCCTGGTTTGAAATTTGGGAGGATATATAGCCGAATCAGTACAGCCAATGCCTGAACCTCGAAAACGTATAAATCAACTATTGGGAGATACTGCTACGAATAAGTCGAATAAACGGAGCACCTGGGGACTGAGGAAAGATGCGAAATTATTTCGCCTTTGAGGAAAAGTTTGAAGTGCACAAAGAAAATTGCTTGCATATGCATGTGGCATACGTGTGGGGCCCAACTTTGAGATACAAATAGTTGGAGGAGCTGGCAAAAACAAAAGTCTGTGCGGAAAGCCACAGACAAATAATCAAAATCGACAAACGAAATGAGCCAAAAACAAAGCGCCCAAAATGTTTTTAGTTTCCAGAGTCCTGGTTGGCAATGGCAGCCTGGGGAGTCAGGACCCACACTAACACACGGGCCGGGCCGAAAGGATATGCGCACGTGCTAATGTGATTAGATACACACACCCACAGTCACACCCACACCCACGCCCACAGCCACGGAGAAGAGCAATGCTGTTTGAGGAACCGCAACATGCAGTGCAGTTGATTGCGGCAAGCCAGGCTACAATAACAAGAAACGTTGAAGAAGAGTAGAGGAAACAACTTCACTCTGGGTATCTGTGAGATGCAAACTATTGTTGCGCAGGTCATCATTATCATCATCAGGATGTGGAAAACTTTCCGACTGGCCCGCTGTGCATTGGTCTGTGCGTATCTTCTGCCGTTCTCCTTACTATTTCAAGTAAGACCCAACAACTCCCAGCTCTGGCCTTGTGCCCTCCTCGAAATTATTTTGTCTCAACAATTTTTCCATCAGCCAGTCGTCAAATGCAGCCTCGGAAGTAACGACCCTCCATTCCAGGTCAGCCAGAGACACAGCCAGTGATTTAATTGCTGCATACAACCACATTCACGCACTCTTCCACACTCCAAAATTAATATATTACCTACTGCTTATGTCTAGCAACTAAATTGAGAAGAAAAAACATAACCTGAGCCGTTTGAAAAACAGAAACGACCTATTTCTCTTCTAAAGAATATGCATTTGTTAGGGTTAGGATTTGTTAGGGTTTGACCTAACAGTAAAGTTAATAAAATGAAGAAGAAATTCAGCTCTACTAAACTTTACTATTTAGCAATAGAGTTAGTATGTCTTTCAGTCTGGAAGGGGAGAAACAAAAGTACATATGTACATGCGTATTTCTAGACTCTTCTGTAGAACCTATATAACACTCTATTGCAATGTTCCGATTGGATTATGGGGCAGAAAAGTCGACTTAATGGACAAAAACAACAATATAACGCGGCTAATTTGTATTGATTTTTTATCGCACTTGCATTTCTCCATTTTGCACTTCCTCTGCTCTTTTTTAGCTCTTTGTCGCTGGCATCGTTCGTTGGTTTGTTTTGAGCTTTCCCTTCCCCCCTCCTTTATAGTACACCCAAGAAAATTGTTGCATAAATTTCACAAAAAAAATTTTTTTCGTTTAATATGGCATTTTGAAAATGGGCTGACTGTCATCAATAACAGCTGTACTTAACGTGCTGTTATATACCATTTTTGGCTATTGGGCTACCCTGGGAATTTTCCCCATAGTGCACTGGCCGCACTGCCGCTCCATCCCAGGTTCTCGTCTCTCATTAGTTGGCCTAAAAAATCCCATCAGGCTTTGATTAACATTTTGTGCACACAAATGCCGGCCAAAATGCGAGAGGCTAAATGAGTTGCATCTAATTGAGTGACAAACACGCCACAACAACATCAGGCCCGGCCAAATACGGGTGGCACTGGCATTGGCCACCTCTCACAAACTGTGCCAATTTGTTTTAAAATGCATCACCCTGGCGCTCAATCAGCCCAGAGCTGTTCCCACTCATCCCCATCCCCATCCTCATCTCGCTCCAGCACCCTCTACAGTGTCTGGTGTCCACTGTCCAATGCCTGTTCTCGACTGTTTTTCAATTTGCATGCAAGCGTAAATTACTCGCCGTTCGACACCCTTTCCCAAATCCACATTCCGAATCCCCATCCGCATCCTTCTGCGAAACTTTCCCCATACAGATTCCAGGCTCCTCCCGCTGGTCAGTTAAAAGGTTTGTCCTTTGGTTGCTTTATATATGCAGATTGCCTGGCCTTCTTCTCTTGCCCCTTTCTTCCTGGTCGCACCCTTTATGTATGTACGTCTGTATGTAGTTGTTATTGGCTGTCGGAATCTTATGGCTTGGTGCCTTAAATTAGTGTGCGTTTCTTGGCTAAGGGCTTAAAACACGTTTTTTGGCACTCCATTTGTCATTAAGCTACCAATTTGTTCGGCTTCAAAAACATCTCAAATTTCGGACTAAACCGCAGCGAGGCGTATGTAAAAAAAAATCAACCAAGGCTAAGGGGTACATACTCCTGTATGTGCATATGCACAATGTACATATGTGAAGCAAGATCAAACGCACGCGTTCGGGCTTTTGAAGCTACCTTAACGCCGGCAAAGGAATGGTACGTTGGAACAGGTTATCCATTCAATATTCAATCGGATTGAGGAGCACTAAATTAAAGCTGTTTTATTACTTGAGCATCCTTGTAGTGTTTGAACTGTAATTCGTGATTCCACACCCTGTCGTCAAATTTGTGAATTAATTATTTATTTCTTCAAAGATAATTATCTGAACTATAATTATAATTCAACGCAACAAATATATATATTTGTTGTAACAAACGAATTTTAATCTAAAGTATTAAAATTAAAAATAAAAAATATATTTTTTTTAAGGTGGAACCAAACTATTTGCTTGCTGTTTTATATAAAAATTGTGTATGGGCGTTCTTTTAAAAATCTTTGCATAAAGAGCTAAACTGCTGTCGCTTAACCAACCCACCCAAATCACATTTAGTGTGTCTAGTTATATCTTTAAATAAAATTACAAAATAAATAATGCAAGAAAGAAAACCATAAAAAACTCCCTGCCCCTCCTCTCATGACTAAATATCTTCATGGCTAGTCGAAAAATTTTCGTGGAAGTACACCTTTGGTGTAGTCGTCTTTCAGATGAAATGCAGGGAGAGATTGCAGTGATACTATGTACATTTGAGAACTGGGCGCCAGTCATGTGTGCAATTCGCATGCCTAAGCAGCTTCGCGCCCCCCCCCCGTTACCTGGTACACACTACACCACACTACACAGTGCCCTGCCCCGATTCCGTTCCCCACATCAGACATCCCCCATCATCAACCAACCCCAGCGGAAAGCCATCCAAGCAGCCAACAATGTACAACAACTTGTAGAATGGCCATAACAATTATAAAACACGAACACGAGCCGATGCTGCAAGGCAGGGGGTATGGGTAGAGGTGGGGAGAGGGGAGGGAGCGCGTGGGGAGACTGAATTGCGGTTGGCAACTTGGATTACAGTGGCGGGTCATTTGGAGAATTCTGCACTTTGCATTATGCAGCATTCCCGAGTCTCCCATCCGTCCGTCTGTCCGTTTATCCGCGTTGCGGCTGCCAATGTGTCGTGCAACTTGGCTGCGGCTTTGGAGGTGACAACTGCGACAGCTAAGCGTCAAACTGTATAAATGCTTGCATCGCCACCGTTTGCGGTAAAATTATAAAAATAAGACACGGAAAGAAGAGATCGAAGCGGGGTCGGTGTCGGTCGCCCCAGGTCGAGTCGGTCAGGGCAAAAAAGGCTTCAAAGAGAGAGAGAGATATGCAAAAGAGAGAAAGACACACATGAGTGGGAGAGAGGGCCACTAAGAGCAAATCATAAATAAATATTTGCCGGTTTCTTTGCAATTTGCATTTTCTCAGTGAATACGGGTATTTTTACCCGTACTCAAAAAGAGTTAAGGGGTATGTTGTATATGTGGTAAAAGTGGATGTATGCAACGGAGAGAACGAAACGTTTCCGACCCCATAAAGTATATATATTCTTTATCAGCATCAATAAACGAGTCGATATAGCCATGTCCGTCTGTCCGTCTTGTTGAGCGCCTAGATCTCAGAGACTATAAGAGCTAGAGTAACCAAATTTTGTTTCCAGACTCATGTGATATCACACTGCTACAAGTGTATAAAAATTACGCACCGCCCCGCTAGCGGAGAGATGTAGTATATATATGGTACATGTAGAATCTACATATTAGATGTAGAATATACATTGTAGATGTAGAAAACAGATGAAGCAAAAAAATGTAAAATGTAAAACTCTAAAAAATCATAAGCTCAAAAATGTATATACTGACTGAGTACGGGTATAAAAGTAGAGTCGCGTCCCCAGAAGCGACTCACACGTTCCTTCTCGTTTCTGTTTGCTTTTGGCCCAATGCTTGCTGGCGTCTTTTGAGAGCGCGCAGCCCACTGGCAAGATAAACGGGTTTCGTTTCGGTTCCGTATCTGCCAGAATACTCTTCTCTTGCGATTGCCATTCGCTTGCCGCTCTCTGCTAATTGATTTACGAGTATCGAAGCCACTCTTCACGAACACTCTATCCTTAGGTATACCAGGCTGAAATGCGTGTGAAAACACGCATTTTAATCGAATATCATGAATATACACGATATTAGTTACGCTTTAAAAAATTGCATTGTCCTGAATGTTTGTTTATGTTTTTGTTTAGGAGTAAAAGAGTAAATTAATTCAGTGTAGCTGTCCACCAAAGAAGCTTTCACTAATGCCCTACACACTTTGCATTCCCAGTTTTGTTTAAAATTTTCGGAAATCTCTACGCAATCATCTCGATGCGTGCACCGCCCCGGGGCAGAAAAAACATTTAATGAAGCCGCGTTCCAGATCCTTTATAGGTTCGTATAATTCCCTGACCCTGGCTGATGATGAAAAGAAGCTCAAAAAGGTGATTTATGTGTGTGACATTGCACACGCAAATCGGGGCGGCTCTACTTAAATTGGCATCAATATTTTAATGCGGAGCGGTGCCGAGTCGACCTATATCAAAGGCCTTCGGCTAGACGGCCAGGCACGAATCTCACCATAAGAGGTTTAAAGAGAAAGCCAGTGGCAGAGTGGTTACAGTAAGAGAACTGATCAGAGACGTCAATGTACGGCAACAAAGTTGCTCCACTCTTCTGGTTCGCAGAGATTGGCGAAAACAAACGCAGCAAATAAAAGAGCACACGAAAGAGAATAATGCTTGACTGTTGCTCCCCATTGATACCCTGCAGTGATTGTCTCTCTCACCACACTCGCTTCTCTCGATTCCTCTTTCTCCCAAGATGCTTTCAAATGCGCTACCTACCGACACTTTTTCGTTTGGAGCTCATCAGTTTCGATCAAAACATTCCGGAACAGCGCAGGAAAATAAAATATAAAAAAATAATATTGAATTTATTTTTATAGACTTTATTTTGAAATATTTAGAATTTATTAATGAAATACTTTCGTTCGACTTTTTGTTGCAGGGTTTCATTGAAAACCAAGGAAAGCTTAAATATTTTTATCAGTTCAGGGGGTGTGTACTATATAGTTTGTTCTTCTAAATATTTTTAATTGTTTTTGTTTTTACATTTACCAAACAATTACATAATTTAGTGTAATGCATAATTAGCTTAACTTTTTTCCTGCTTTTAAATGATTGTACACATTTATTTATTTCGAAACATGGAGGTGATTGAACAGTCGCTCCGGCGGGCTAATCTCGCACTCATTTTATTGGCGCTGCACCAAAGTGCAAATACCAAAAGCAAAGCAACGACAGTCGGTGGGCCCGTCTCTGTGAACACATGCTAGTCGGCCTGCTCTGGTCTGGTCTGGTCTGAGTGTTGAGTGTCGTGCTCCGAGTTTCGTTGGGGCTGCAACCAGTTTGCTGGCATCGATCGTCCTTTGCGCTCGTGCATGCTGCGGCCAGTGTGTATTCCGTGGTCGTAGTCCCAATCGTAATCCCAATGATCCAAAACTAACCGAGAACAACTGAACAGATCCGAACCGCAATCGGTCTCTTAAGTTGACCCAAGTTGAGGTCTTCTGTGAGTGTCTCTCCGGTCTCTCGATGTGTGCGCCTCCAGAGGCAATCGCGCTGTGTTCGACATGTGATCATTTTTTTGCACTTCACGTCTCTCCGCTCGCCTCTGCCCGGGTAGGCAGAAAAGTCTGAAAATATCTTCGGTATGGAGCAGATCTAAAACGGAATAATCGCCACAGAGCGCCAATGCTAACGAATTTTCTTGCAGTAAACTGAAGTTCCGTCTGCGGTTTGTCTGGCAAAAGATAACAAAAAATAATTATTGCCGGTTGTGGTAGTGCCCCGAGACTCGGTCTCGGTGTCGGTCGCGGGTGCGGTCCCGGTTCCCGGCTCCCGGCTCTCAATTCCACTCTCACTCTCAGTCAGAAGATTCTCTCGCTCTGGCTGGCATTTGTTCTCGCAGCTCTCAGAGATCATCTCGCTTGCATAACCAAGGGCAGCACACACCTCCGAAGCAGATTGCAGATGCAGATACAGATGCAGATATACATCTAGAATTACTCCGGCAGATACTTTCGCGGCTGCAGCAAATGGTTCGCATTGTCCCCGGTAAGTGTACAATGAGTTATGAGTGCCCCTATTGCCCCGCCCTCTCCCTGCACCCTGCTCGCGGTGGGCGTTGCAAACTGCCTTGTAATTGCCTGACATAAATGCTCGTGTGTACAAGGCTTAATAGCGATAGCGGCAGGTACTACGAGTATGCTCGCCGATTGCCATCTACAACTACAGCATTACATTCGGTGGTTCATATTGCGACGGGGAGTGTAGTGGGACGGCTATTGTCTGGCTACCAAATTGAACAGGAAACGACTGCGATCATGAGCAACAAGTCATGTTTGGAGCGCTGCAAAGAAGGCAGCCATCCAGTCGGTACCATTCGGACGATGACTTCGGGGGCGATCGGGAATGCAGGAACCTCTCGTCGCCTTATAAGGAAATCTGGAACAAAGTCTGTGTGCTTCTGAAAGAAATGCAAAGCGAGTTTGTTTAGATGTAAAATGTGTACATTTATGTGTGGGGCATCGAGGGAGAAGCAATATAGCCTAAGTGAGCACTACCCAAGCCGGTTTCCGTCTTTGTTTTAACTTCAGCGTGGATCACGATAATCCTGTCACTTGATCAGTGATCGGTGCATATTGTCAATGAAGAAATCTCGTATTACTTCAGATTTATGGCCTCAACCGGAAAAGTGTCCGCTCACTTTCCCATTTGCCACCACAAAATTATCATATTAATTAGTTAACGTACGATGGCCATTCATAAATGCCAGTGAACCTAAGAGTTCTGGTTCCTAGCAGCATCCCCCGATCCCCATTCGTAACCAGTTTGCGTGGAATGCCCTTACGCGGACTAATTAAGCAAACGTTCATCTGCCTCTTGCCCACCTGTAATCCAATGCCATACAGATCAGACCCAAGCTTTAACGCTCCACTCACTGCACTGGAGCATGCTCCAAATGAGCGATTTTCCGGCTCTGTAGTGCTGTATCGCTGGGGCGCCCCATCACATAATTAGCAAACATAGAAATGCCATTCTCCGCGAGATACCGATACCGATACCGCGCTCCATCTTCCTCTTTCTGGGGCTGCGCTGCGCCGTGTTCTCTCTGTTCAAATACAAATTAGTAGCGACATGCAAGATAAGCGATCGTGTGCACTTTTCAAAATACTCGAACAGAGAGCCAGAGAAGTAACAACATTTTGCCGTGGTCGCAGGGGGGTGGCGGTGGAAGTGGGGCGGGGCTGGGCGGCAACAGCACGAACCGAACTGTGTGCTCCGTTATCAAAGATCTTGCATGCTCAATTACCTCTCTCTCTTTGCAAAAATGTGTAATTAACTCTTTAGGCACCGAAATTAAGTTATTATTGTCAAAAAAGACCAACACTTCGTATTGTTATTCTTATCGATAGAAGAATATTGCTTATTACTAGGGGGGCCCCAGTCTCTCTGCCTCGCCACATTCCCTCTCTTTCGTGCTGGTGTTCTGGTGGACGGTCGGTCGTCTGAGGGTTCGACGCTAGACCCACGGAACCTCTGCACTAGATTAGACAGTTCACTGAGTCACCCTAAGTGCAAATTAGATTAAACTCGATTCGAATTCGAATACACATTTGTGCAGAGAAATTCTAATTAAACAGGCGGACGAACACTGTATGCTCTTTCGAAAAAATCAAAAGCTAGTTTTGATTCTACTGCTGATCTCAGCATTGCTGTTATCCAATTAGATTCTGGAAAATGTACAAGACACATGAGTATAGGCTGAATTGATTTTGATGCTGATCGATTTGTTGCTTTCTGGATGTAGGCGCGCAATAAATAAACATTTTATATATGTTTAAAATTCGTGCTCCAAGTGGGTCATTATATGTACATATGTATGTGTGTTGAACTGTTTTCAAATATATGTAGTTGTTTTCTTGTACAATGAAGGAAAGACGGTTTACAAAAGCCCAACCGGTACCGGTCCGTGTATAGATATATGCACATTCAAACGAATTGTTGATTGGGGTCTATATTACACCCAATGCATATAACGCATACTACGCGCGTTGGAAGCACGAAGCAATAACCAAAACAAATGCCATAAAACATGCAGCACAAAGCAAGTGGGCAAAAATTCAGAGAGAAATAAAACAAAGCAGAAGCGAAAACTCACAGCGATGCAACCCGTTCCAACACCAAAACCAACTCGAACAAGTTGCACGACGACTGCAACAAGCAGCCAACTAACAACTGCAGCGAAAGCGACAGCAACAGCAACAACAACAACAAAGCGACAGCAACAGCCAATGTGTGTGAGGCTGCCTATATACAAGGGCTTGTCTGGGTTTGTCTGTTTGTCTCTCCGCAGTTGTGTTTCTGTGTGTGTGTGTGTTTGAGTGCGCTGTGTGTGAGTGTGTGTGTGTGCAGCCCCCACATTTCTCCAAATGCACGCAGCGTCAACGGCGCACAGTGGTCCGCAGACAATAGTGTAGCAGCAAGGGTGCTTTTAGGGTTCTGTGAGTAGAATTCATCCAAAATATAAAACCATAAATAATATTTAAGAACTGTCAGAAATTATTATCTACTTTCCAAACATTGTCCACCACTCAGGCAACGATTCATGGAACAGTTCAAGACTTAACAGAGCTTCAAGCGAGAACTAGGACTTCTGAGCCACTGTACCAGTGTACACCGTCGCTCTCTCGATGCGATTTTCGGTTCCGTTTCGTTGGCGGTGTGTGTCCGCGTCCACGCAAACACAAGCAAACATGGTATTCACACATACACACACATTCTCTCTCCTCTCGCATTGGCACATCACATGCACATGCACGGGCACCAACACCAAGAAAGCAGCTTTGCTCGACGTTTTTGAGTTCTTTGCATCCGCGTCTTGCGGGCCCAATGCGAGTTGCCTTGTGCATGCCAAAGATTTCAGATCGGAAAGCAACAGCAGCAGCAGAAGCTCAGCTCGCGGCACGCGCAACGATTTCAGGAGTTATCCATATCGATACATACCCAGCTCTTAGCGACTCTATAAATATTACATTTTTTTTTGCATTGTGAAGCTCAATTAAAATTAAGAGCCTAATTAGACGGTGTTTGGTGGTTCAGTAGACAGGTTGCTCGCGTTTGCCGGCGGCTTTTGCAATTCATTAAGTGCGATCGCGTGAAAATGCTCGAGTGATTTTTTGTTTGTTTTGTGACAATTACCAAACGATATCTCAGAATATATATATAGCAAAAAGTAACAATATTTTTGGAGTCAATTGTTTGGAATAAGCCCATGGCGGAGTTTCTTCAAGCTAATTCAACGAAATTTTAACAAAAACCATTGAAAAATATTCATAAAATTTACAAATCCTAATAGTTATATACATAAATAAATACAAAACAAAATACTCTTTATATAAATACATAAACGTTACCTACAAATACAATATTACAAATAATTAAACTATTCATATAGATAAAATACAATACATAAAAGACAAATATTTATAAATAAATAAAGTTTCAAATCAATTTAGCTAAACAGGTAATAATTTAATTTATTGTTGTTTAATATTTGCCAATTCTATTGCTTTGTGAAATTACTCAAAGTGCTTAGCTAACTAGTGGTAGACTCAGAGTATATATCTACAGATAATCGCCTCAATGATTCTTCAAAATGTTAAATATAATCGCTTAACAAAAGACTACAGGAATGCATTTTAATGTGACATAAAGTAATTGCAAGAATTACAAGCCATGATTGCGCATACGCCTCGGAAGCCAGGGCTTGTCACCTGCAAAATACTAAAATGTCAGAAAACCAATGGAAATGCTAATTTATTAAGCCTTGCATTTGCTTACAATAAATTAAAACTTTCGTTGCATTTCCTAATTCAGAAAGAAGAAAACGAAATCATTTCCTGTTTCCACAATTGTTCGGGGAGAAATCGAAAAATACAAAGAACAGTAAAATACATTTAACGACTCCTAATTAACTAGATTGCCTAAGCTGAACTTTGGCATTTTCCCCAGAAAATTAAAACTCATACGAAAAAAAAAATCACATTTATGGCTGAAAGTTCAAAGTGTCAAGAGTCAACCATTAATCCACACTTTCCTGTAGATATTTTTGCGCATCTGCCAGAACCCTTCTACATACACTGTATTGCCGTGACAGATCCCTCGCTCGTGTCGGTACAATGTATCTGCAAGCCTAGCTCCACCCACAAGGCGTAACTTATATCTTAAACAAATCTAAAATGAGTAAACCCATGTAAGGGGGGCGTAACCGATCGAATCAAAACAATTTTGGATGATTTTACCTTGAATGGATGGTCAGACATGCAAAAGCCAACGGCCAATAGAAACAGAGTTTCACCTGCAGCTCCGTTCCAGCTGCGATTTAATGAATTCCGGAGCGATACGATTGCCAACTATGAGATACATTAGCTCGTGCGATAAACAGAAATGCAATTTGTTTGCCAGCACAATTCATGCATGCAAAAAATAATGGAGAAACCAAATTAAAACCATAACATACATATTTCTCGCTCTTTCGATACTACGAGTACGTTTGCATACCGAGAAATTACATCATCGAGTCAGGGTGCAATTATAATTATCAAAAATATAGCCGAAATGTTAACCAGGAAATTGTTTACAGTTCAAATAATTTAAATTTATTTTCTGGAAATTTTGCAAATTAATAAACACCAAATATTTCCCTTGTCTTTTCAGGTGCTTAACAATCTATTGTCCAAAGTCTACAAATAGGGGATTAGGCAACTCAAAGTGAAAATTAACATAACAATACCATAAACAATAGATATTAATTTACTAAATACATATTTAAAGAAAATATTTTAATCGAAAAAACAAGATAACAAATCCTTGATCTAAAGCTGAACAAATTCTACATATATATAGCCGCAGTAAAAATAAATAATATTCCCAATAATTGTGCTTAAAGATACTTACTCTTGCAATCCGAAAAATGCTTCCTATCTCGGACAACTAATTCGGCGGAGAAAAGTGTCAGAAACATACAACTACAGCTTCAACTGTAATTGACGAGATCAAGGACATTTGAATATTCTGGGATGGTTTCGGAGGAGAACTGGAACAGCGACACCATGTCCGACTCGGATATGATCGACTCGAAGAACGACGTGTGCGGCGGGGCCTCCAGCTCCAGCGGGAGCTCGATCTCGCCGCGCACACCGCCCAACTGTGCCCGCTGTCGAAACCATGGCCTGAAGATCACCCTGAAGGGCCACAAGCGCTACTGCAAGTACCGCTATTGCACGTGCGAGAAGTGCCGCCTGACGGCAGACCGCCAGCGGGTAATGGCCCTCCAAACGGCCCTGCGCCGCGCCCAAGCGCAGGACGAGCAGCGGGCACTGCATATGCATGAGGTGCCGCCTCCATCGGGGTCCACTACGGCCCTGCTGGGCCATCATCACCACGTCGCTGCCACCGCCCACGTTCACGCTCATCACGTCCATCCGCACCATAGCCATGGTCACCACTCCCACTCCCACCATGGCCATGTGCTGCACCAGCACCAGCAGGCAGTGGCGTCAGCCGCAGCGGCTCCTTCGCAGCCGCCCCCGTCCCACCTGAGTGGGGCCCACAATGGGGCAGGAGCAACAGTGCCAGCCACCGCCTCCAGCCTGCATGGTCACGCCCATGTGCATCATGTACACATGGCGGCAGCGGCGGCCGCCACAGTGGCTCATCAGCAGCAACAACAGCAGCAGCAGCACCAGAGCCAACAGCACCAGCACCAGCATCATCCACACCTCCAGCATCCGCAGCACCAGCCACAGCACACGGCGCTCCGATCTCCTCCACACAACGAGCATACCGGAAGTGTTGGACCAGCCACCAGCAGTTCAGGAGGCGGAGCCAGCTCGGGCAGTGGCGTCGCAGCCACATCAAGCAGTGCATCCAGCAGCGGCGGAGTTGGCGGACGGGCAGGCAGTGGCGGGGTCAGTGTCATTACTAGTGCCGATCCACACATGTCCACGGTACCCACACCAGCCCAGTCGCTGGAGGGCTCCTGTGATTCATCATCTCCCTCGCCATCGTCCACATCCGGCGCCGCCATTTTGCCGATCTCAGTCTCCGTTAATCGCAAGAATGGCGCCAATGTACCGTTGGGTAAGTGCACAACTATACTCGTAAGCTATATGCATATATCGGGGGCTAAATAAAAGGCTTAGAGTCTATCAGTATTCGGTTGAATGATTACCAAAGCGACTCGACTTATCTGTGGAAGAATATACGTATTTAAACTAGTCGATGTTTTAGGCTATGCAAGTTCCTCTGTCCCTTCTATTAAAGTGAACTGAATGGCCTGTTCCTGTTCCAATGAAATTTAGTCAATGAACAAGGCCGCCTTGGTCTTTCATCCGCCTTTGCAGTATAGTTAATTTCATTATTGTATATTTATTAGATAAGATATAAAAACAAGTCTGTGGTTTATAATTGGCGTCTAATCAAAGTCGGCTGATTTAATGCAAACATGAATTATTGGAACGGCTAATGACAAACTTTACACTTCTGTTGTGGGTCTATAAAAGTCAAATCATATTAAAATATGAAAAATAATCAGTACAGCTATGCAAATAAATGGTGTGTGTTAAGTATGTTTTGTTGTGTGTATTTATACAGCTAAACTCTAACAAATGTATTAGATACCCTGAAACCTTTTTAGAGATGAATTAAGAGCAATTTAAGAATCTATTTATCTTTTATAGATTCCCAATTTATTTAAATTTAAACTGATTTATTGATGATTCGAATTTTGTTTAGATTTTCACTTATACTCGTATCTGCTGTCACGTATTACTGACCTACCCACGTACATACATATGTGCTTACTTTGAACTTACTCAGACAAATCAATCATTAATCTTGTAACTCGCTCAATTTGTGATCTTGGCAACCAGTATCAAAACATATTTATGGGCCATTTAATAAAGTGCAGAGGGAAAATTGAAAATGAAAAACTCTGAGTTGAAATTGCACAGTTTTTTCATCCCGACTCGTCTGTTTTTCGCACAGCGGAGGGAAGCTGTCTGGGAGTCGTGGTAGTATGTCTCGCCGCTAAATGATTCCCACCTAATTATAGGCCACAATATGCCGCCGCCACTAGGATGGCATCGAGAACAGATCCACCAGAAATGCGGCACGTACGCATTTGAGGGCAGAGACGCCTTCGACAGAAGGCCTAATCAAGTTGTTGTTGCTATTTCGTGCCGTTGCAGAGGCTCGACGGAGACGAGCCCAGACTTGGCCAAAACAAAAGAAGAAACAAGTTGGAGCGGACTGGTCGGGTGTACCGACTAAAGGATACCCGCTACCCGAAAGATCCCGCCATAAGCGTGTATATTTTACGGGATTAAATGAATTTCGAATGATGATAAATGAATTGATCTTTCCTCAATGCAATGGGATTATCGAATCCAGGATCTGTTTTCGATATACAGGGAACTAGGATGGTGTTGTAATATACCTCTGATCTTAGCGATATGGTACGGTATAGAGTCAAAGGAACGCCAAGGGAATACGTGTGGCAAAGCAAAGCAAAGCGAGGCAGAAGACAAGACAAGACAAGACACAATACAAGGCACAACAAGGCACGGCCCTGCGGCACATGTCACAAATTGCTTATAATGACAGCCGGAGCGAAGTAGGTGACGGGCCATGAATAAATCAATTAACATAGATCCACCAAGCTGTCAACAGTTGACACCTGAGGGCGAGTCAGGCTGTCTGCCGTTGTCATTCAGATTATGCTATGGAAAAGCCTTCCGGTTTGATACATGCGCTAAAAGTTATGAATTAAATGGCGCATACATCGGATAGGATCGCCTCGATCGGAGAACTAGCTGCCACAAGAGAGCTCAAGGGAAAGGGTTTAGGGAGGGTTGCAATTAGGTTGATAATTTTCAAGAATTTTAAAATCTTTAATTGTGGCATTCTGAGTTTCTTATTATGTGAAAAACTAGTAGCATCTTAATCAGGGCTTTGTCCATGGACTTCACTCCCTCCACTCGTTGAATCAGTTGCGACTTGCGAGAGTCCGTCCATCGGTCTGCTGCACACGTTCCACGTTCCCCTCCCTAATTGCACCTGAGCACGAGCAACATGGCATACGAATGCGCCATAAGAAGCATAATCTTTGGACAATTACAAGAAGACCTGTCAAGGCAATCCAACATAACCATTCATCAAAGCGCTAAGCAGGCATGAAACATTTTCACAGTTTCATTTTCCAGTCACCGATGATTTCTTTATGCATATTATCCCATGGTTATGGCCGCCAGACATGTCATCCGATCCGACGTTGCGGAGATCGTTTAGCATAAGTGCAAAGACAATGCGAGTCTTCTGTCAACTACAGACAGTTTGTCAATCAATTGGACCCCGCAACACCTCCTCTGGCTTCTTCGGACGTTCTGCTCCTTCCTGCTGCCTCCTTCCACCGCCTCCACAGACAGCGCCACAAACAGTAGACAGTAGCTGGATGCCCCAGCGCCTATCTTTTGGCTGTGTTAGGTTGCGGCCTCGATGTCTACAAACGTGTAAACTTATTCGTAATCTGCATCGTCTGCACGGAGCTGCCTAACCCGTCTTGAGCCTCAAACTGGAAACCCAAATCGAGTTTTCCATGCTGGCAACTTTGTTGCCGTTTTCTCAGTCACCTGAACAAGTCCGACGGCTCATTAGCTCAGCTCTGGCTTCTGCCCACACTGGCGCTGCCAATTCCCGCATTAGTCATCATGCCTCCAGACGTGAGGTTATGGTTCTGGCGGATCTCTTTCTATTAGATCTATAGGAAGTGCATCCAGGGTAGGGTATTCATTTTGTTATTAATTTTGATGAGTGTAATAAAAATCTATAGCTATCATGCTGCCATCTTTGATCTATAAGTAATAATAGTCTTGATCTGTTCTTCCAATTATTCCGAATAAAGTTAAACTTGGACACGTAGCTCAAAAATTGGGGGAGATCGAAAGCGGCTTTGGAAGAGGATGTGTGGCAAGTCAAGGGCTGCCAATCGATAGAGTTCGACTTAAGTTAATTAATTTAATGCGCCTGCGCTTATTTCGGGCTCTTAAGACGGACAGCCAGCCCTCTTGGCCATACACCGGGACGGGACCCATCGTGTCTCTGTCTGTCTAGAACATTTACGAGTAGGGCCGACGACTCGCCATTCGCAATTCGCAAGAAAACCCCAAGGAAAAAAACAAAAACTTTGGTGCGCTCGTAAAATAAAGTTGTAAAATGTATTTTTGGTGCATATACATATGTATGTATAGATTGTTGTTGCATACATTTTGCTCGATTTTGTTTTCGATTTCAGTTTCAAATGGCTTCCACAACTCGCAGAGCGTAGTTTGCATTTTTTTTATTATTATTTCTCATACTCATATTTGAGAAATGGGCCCGAGAGGCAGCAGCTCTTGGCAGCCCTTGGCAGCTTTGACAGGTCATTTTGGTATATAATTTACGAGATTTCCAGTTAATATGTTGGCATTACTTTTAATACTCCTCGTCGGACTCCGCAAGCCGCCGTCTTTATGGACACCCAAAGTCAGGATTATGCATACATATATATGTATTTATATTATGTGTGTGTATGTGCATATGTATGCTACAAATGGTTGCTTAATTATAAGGCCAGAAGCAATCCAATCCAGGAATTGACCACAGAAACAATTCGCTTAACATGAACAATAAAAATATGTATGTTTTTTCTCCTTTTGCAATTAAAAGTTCTTTTACGAGCAGAGAATTAGTCTAGACGAGGCGAGACTCGACTCGACTCGGCTCGGCTCCGATCGCCAATGCCAATTGGCTCTAGCCCCCTCCCCCCTCTACAGAGCGGCGGCTTGAGTGTTCCCGAAACAGCTGCCAGATGATATAATTATGAGTCGAATGAGTATCGTATCCCATGAATACCGTGTGGTATTACGAGTATTTACAACCTGCCAAAACCATTTGCATACAAATGCTGGCATAATCAGCTCTCTTATCCAGAAGGTCCCAATTACAGGTCTCTATCGCCTGATCCGCCCCATGTTTAAGCCGCGGCGAGGAGCTCTGGCTCTGGCTCTGTCCTAAGCTTCGCTTAATTCAATCGGCATTGTGAACGCCTGCTCACAATGCGGGCCCCTATAATTTGTACACCGTCAGAAGTGTACAAGTGCAGAAGTTTGTTTTTTCGGGGCCGTGAAAACACCAGAAAGATGCATTATGCAACCAATCCACATGTGTGAAACCGCAATGGCTTTTTAAGTGAGCAAAATTATAGGGAATGGAATCCAGAATACAGAATAAGTATCCAGGATCCAGAAGAGGGTTCAGAGAATAGCGAACTCATCTGGGGATTTAGCTGAGAACGTGCTTTTTTTTTTAAGGAGTGCTCGATAGATAGTTTTTAATGGACTTTTTTCATGTTGGCCGGACGTTAAAGGTGCTGCACAAAAAAATAGCTTAATACGTCATTAAAAATATATATAACCTTAAAAGCAAAAAACTAGCCCACCCTTTTTATATATTCTAAACGCTCAAGTGCTTAAAAATAATAGCCATAAAAGTATCCCCTGTAGCCAACTTTCTTGCCACTCAATTTATTAAATATTTATGAAGCTGCCGACACATTTCCTCAAAATATAGTTGGTAATGGACCCACGATCCACCCCTTTAGAGGGTATTATCAGTTTTGAGTTGTGCTTGGGTTCTAGGCGTTGCAGAAGAGAGAGAGAGAACTCGAAACGCTATTAAATACTACATGACTCCACAGCAGAAACTATCACGCTGTCCCCCTGCCTTTGTATTTATTCTTATCACTTAAGTGCTTAAAAATAATAACCAGGAAAGGCGTGCCCTGTGGCTGGATTTCTTGCCACTCAATTTATTAAATTTATTAAATATTTATGAAGTTTGCCAACACATTTGCTCATACAAACTTGTTGCTCGCAAATTGTAATGTTGCATGCAATGCACGGCTTAAGAAGGTCTTGATAGACCTCCCAAAAGATTTGGTTACTGAATTGTGCTGGCTTTTGCCTTTCTTCCCCATCGTCGTCTTCCTGCACCTCCTCCGACTGCAGCTCCAGTTGCCACCAGCCGCAGCCTCAGCCTCAGCG